GAGACACAATAAAATACTTGACATCTGTCGAATCAACCGACTATTGTTGACAATACATCTGTAAAAAATGATTCAGAGGCGGGCGTTTATCAGTTCGGAAGTATCGGCAAATAGACTTGGCGGAGATAATCGGGTCTCACCTCTCGAGCTCCTCGGAATATTCGATCTTGTCTCTGATCGAGCTGGACAGGCTGTACGCCGATTTCTTTCGGTTACCATTGATCCTGCCGTTCTCCAGATCGAACTTGTACTGCGGAATGTTCTCCACGCTGCCGCAGTGGCTGCCGCCGTGATGCAGGATCGACTTCCGCCTGCCCTGATCGGAATTGTGCTCCGAGCTCGCGCTGATGCGCCGATGATGCTCGAACGCGGGATTATCGAGTCCCATGACCTGATCGCTGATCGATACGCGCCTCTTCGCCAACTCCTCGCTGGGCTTGTTCATCCTGCCGCCCATCTCGATGTCCATTTTCCCCGGCCCCAGCCGCTTGTAAAAACCTCGAAAGGACGGGGACACGTTCGCCGACCCGGAGGAAGCCTCCAGAGCCCACCTTTTTCTATACCCTACTACGCGCCCGGTTACTTTAATCCTCTCGAAATCATGCACGCGCGATCGAATGATCGATCGATCGATCGAGTCCCCACGTCTACGCCCTACGATCAAGAGATGAAGAAGATCCTCGAGATCGAGTAACTTCTTGAAACTTTGAACCACCGGCACACCTGTCGATACGGATTTCACTCGCGCCTGTTGATCGCGGGAAGATCGGGAAGAAACTTGAACCGAGCTTGAACCGTGCGCGATCGCCGGAACGTACTGCGACGGGATCCCGGGATCACGCGTTCGCCACGTTAACGGCGATCGTTAGCGGGTGAGTCTCGTGACGAAGCTGCGCCGCGCGACGGAGACGGGGACGGGGGCGGGGGCGGGGATGGGGATGGGGACTCGTGGCGATCGGCGGACGGCGACGCTAATGCGTTGCGACGATTGACGTCTTTGACACCTTGGCCCGCTTTTACCAGACCGTCTCTCTCTCTCTTCTGTCACGAGCGCGTGTTCTCCACGGAGCTCTCGCTCCGCGCCGAGGTTCAGGCCGGAGCTTTGTCCCTCTCGTTAGCGTTAGCGTTAGCGCGCTCGTCCGCCGTCCGGATCGGCGACTCGTCCGACCGCGACCGCCTTCCGCCGTCCGTCCACAAGAGCGAACTTTTCCACCGGCGTCGTTTTTCCATGCGTCGTTTCCAACCGATGATCGACCGTCAAATTCGCCAAATCGCGTTCACGCCCACGTCAACGCGTGGAAAACGTCGCGACGCGCGCTCGCTTCTCGCTCGGCGCAATTGACGCGACCGGTGCATCCCGCTTGC